AAAGCAGCTTAATTGGTGGTTAGGATACGCTAGCTAACGCCCTAAACGATATCAACCGATGGTGAACTATATATTTCACATATATTGGTGTAAAAGCAGGTAAACTGCGTAGCTTATTTCCCAACAAAGGGCTTTACAGTCGCTTTGTTTTCTTCTTTCTTGGGACATTTGTTAAATGAAATGAAATTCATTATCATGAATTACAACTGATCGAAAATCATAAAAAAAATCAGAATCGTTATATTTTACAACATCATTGTGATCATACTCAGCAGGCTTGTAACATCAATCGTCGGGTTTATGCCTACGTTGCCTGTGCTTTTAATAAAATCAACAGTTCGCATATCGTTTTATCATTCCTTCTCTTAAAATTTCTTTGCGGTCAGTTGACCAGAAAGTCGCTGAATATCTTTGAAAAACTAAGGAAGATCGGATACGATCCGTTTGGAACCGTTTGCGTAAGCTCGGGTGCGAAAGCAAGCTCGATATTTGGCTATCACATTAGCAAATAACAAATAATGTGCGAAAAATGTCGTCGCCCGAAACGGACGAGCCTGCACAAACCACGGCCAAGTTTGAATTGAGACGAAATAAGGTAATATGTTGTATCGGGTGGGATTTCAAAGCAATCATGGGATGCCTCAACTTAATTAGACGATTGATTTCGCCCTCTACTGTTACCAACTAAAGGCAGTAAAGCGTGCAATTGAAGTAAAATGTCTAGAATTGATTAGTGCAAACACACACACACAAACAACGCCAGTACACAAATGTTTTCGATGACACGAAGCAAAGTTAGTTGGGATATTTTAGTATATCACACACCGTATAGCCTGAAGCTGGTTTTGCCCTTTGCAGGACTCTCTTAATGGTATAAAGCCAAGTTTAAACGACCCCTTTTTTTGAAAGCCCAGAGGTTCTACGATAGCGGCATAATGATTTTATAATAAATATGACAAATGGCTCAAAATCAATTGAAATTATATTTATATACTTTAATAAAGCTCTTTAAGAAAATTAATGCTTGCAATTTGGTGAAAAAAGTGCCAACAATTTTTTCTTTGAGGTTTCTTGTTACAACCCGATATTAATAATCCAGAAAAAAATTCTTACCACTTGGCTTATTAGTTTACAAACTGGAACGTCCATTATAACGATTAGTCGCATTCATCTAACTTTTTACATGCGCTTTTCATAATTATTGAACATAGTATAGCGATTAAAAAGCCTTTACTTTACAGTTAAAATAATCGGCTTTTTTTCTATGTTTTCTTTTCATTTTCCTATACTTCATTACGAAATGTAACAAAATAAAATAATATTTTTAATAATTTTGTTAAATATAATAAAACTAAATTATATAAAATAAGTGATTGTATATATTTCCAAATATTATATAAAATAAGTGATTTGAATTCTCAAAATGACAATTTTTTTTCTGGTCTTAGTATAAAACTCAAGTTGGACGTTACAGACTTTCGGATCAAATCAACATATCCGCCATCGTTATGTACAATGATTCATGGCCCTAAATTTCTCTTTCTTTAGTATTTTTTGATGTCCCATTCCTTATTCATAGGTTAAGAATTTTTTCATTTCACATTATGCACTATGTGAGCGAAAAATGTTGCGCTTAATTTGACTAGAATTTAAATTTGTGTTATAATCAAATTATAATTCAGCATATGAAAATATGAAATAAATATTACATGTCGGTTGCTTTTCAATATAAATCAAATGAATTTTATCTTTAAAGGTCCCACAACTATTCAGGATTTGTATTGCTTCGGATTCTAATCGGAGTACTATTACTTCGGATAGATAAACCCAAGTTTTTTCAAAACTCATTTATCCCCATTTACTCCGCTTGTCCATATGCGCGCCTTTCCGCATATTATTGAATCCTCCACATTTACGTGAAAGTTAAGTTTAAAATCTGCAACGCTAAACTCATATTAGTGGTTTGGATCATCGTAATCATCATTCAATCATTCGTCGTGGATCAATATCTCTTTCTTTTGTTGGATCTCCCAGGTTCACGTAAAGGTTAAACTCGAAAACTGAAACATGGTGCATAAATTCCTTTTTTTGTCGGTGCGTATGTTTTTCCTTCGATTGTTGAATCTGAAAAAATTGAAAGACATCTCTCAAGTTCTGGTAGATGTTTTCGTGCATCGGAAAGCTTTGGCTCAAAATGAGAAAAGCCAGGCCCAATAGGATAATCATGAATAATATTTTAAACCTACAATAACCTATAATAATCGATGTGCCCATTGGCAACATCTCCAATATTAAGAGAGAACTTCTCGATTTGCATGCTTATGGCAGTAAGTTTTTTAATTTTTTATAAATCATATACTTTTGTGTATTTAAAAATTTAAAGGCCCTCTTCAGTACGGGTGCCCCAAAGGTTTAAGGATTGATGATAAATTGATGTGCAAATTAAAAGCTAGACCACGCATTATTCTTGTATGAACTACTCAAGCATCGAATGAGCACCTCCCCCCCTGTTGCAAACAATCTCCTAGCGCTGTTAGAGTGCGTAGTACTTTCCCAAAAATGTAATAATTTTAGTGAAATTTAATGAAAATACTTTCTAAAGAGAGCCACACCTATACTTATTTTAAGTTAATAAAATTAACAAGACCTTTATACTAGTGGGTACATGCACGAAGTGATTTTTGAAAGTTTTAGCTTCAATGAAAGCCGGGAGAAATATTTTCAAACATATTTTGAGAGCCACGCCTATTATCAGTATAAATTAGCAAAATTGATAAAGCTTTTCCACTACCAGCAATCTTATTTTAAGTTGAATAACTGATATAAATTCGCAAGTCTTCTTAGGACCAAAATATTTGTTATATTCCGTAGAGTGTGTTTCAGTTATCTTGAGTACATGCGATAGCTTGTCGTGTTTAAAGTGCAATTGATTATGAAAAAAATTTTGTGCACAATCCCGCTATACACTTAGAAGTAAACAAATTTATTAAACCCAATTGTACTCCATAGTGATCGCAGATTATAAATACAACAAAATTTTGTTCATAATTAGAACTTCAGAACTTCAGAAATTCTTTCTCTGACCAAATTAATGACAATAATGATAATGACTTCAACTTTTCGAAAACATTCTACGGATTTTAGATCACATTTTCGCAAAATGTATGGATTGCAGCTCTACGTCCAAACTGGTGTAGCCAGTTTAGTCTAAGGTAAGGGAAATTTCGATTATAATTACGCTGATGTGGTATGCCTGAAGTTGTCAAGTTGTAGCCCGCCAGAAATTGTGCACTGGTATATATTGCTTTGGGGAAAAAGATTCATGAAATTTTGTTCACCAGCTGATGCTTGATGTTACTTGTCGGGTAACATTGATTGGATTGTGACATAGAAATGCAAAGTGCACGTAAAGAAAATGCACTTTCGATGAAAAGAGAAATTTAAAAAAAAATGACAAAATGTCTCTGAATAAATTTTCCCAATGCTATTATTATATTGCATTAGCTTTGCGGAGGTGCTGAACGGAAGGTAAGGATTCTTTTGTAAATTAAGTAAATTATTGTACCGTGTACACTTTTAAGTTGTTTACTAATTGCTTTGAAATCTAAAATATTGTGACACTAGCAATCACAAATCCAGGTTAGAAGGGATGTCGTTTATCAGCGGGTATTAAATATGCAAAAGTTTTTTCATAACTTTTATCCAGACTGATTAGATAAACGTTCCGAATTTTATTATGCAATGTATTCCAAACTTTTGTCGGCAACTGTTGCTCCGAATATAACATGGAAGGCCTTTGAACGCTACGTTAGAAACTGTATTAACGTTACCACATTTCGTATCCCCTTAGGGTAGCGGCATTGTCAGTTAACGAGTATGCGGATTTGAAAGAGTTGGCCTGTTGGTTTATTCGAGACCTAAAAGTAGTAATACATAAGTATGCTTATGCTTTGAAGACGAATTTTAATAATAACGAATTAACAATGAAAGGTAAGAAAACATATGCTACTGTTTTGCAAAGAAAATGATGTTAACCTAAAAAGAATTTTTAATATCTTCGCACGGATATCAGAATAATGATGATCTTATAATTAATAAGCAAATGTCCCAAAAATATAAATCAAAATAGAATTAACATTACTTTTTAAATGCACGATATGTTTGAATAAATTTAGGAGAGAAAAAAAAAGCCAAATATTCGAAATATTTATAGAACTAAACGAACGCTTTTCCTCCCCCGCCCTCTGCAGTCTTGTGAGAAAATTGAAGGAAAACAGTCGAATAGAAATTCCACAAATTTTTATTTTACTCATGTCCAGCATGTTCACTAGCAAGCAATCGCCTCTTGCCATATACGGCTACTTTTTTGGACTCTTGCCGTCAAACATACCGCCGCGCTAACCGTGGCGAAGATAAATAAGCAAAGCAAATGTTTGATTAAATTGTGAAAGAGTTGAGCAAAGAATAAGAGAAGAGAGAGAGATAAAATGAAACAGAAAATCAAAATTTCTCCAAATACGCGAGACGGTAATAATGATGTTTACAGTTATGAATGTGTGGGGCTAACTATATTTAGCAACGATCCTTGCGTTGCCATAATAATGGAAAAAGAGAAAAAAAAAGTTCGCAGATGATTATTCAAAACTAAAATAACAATAATAACAACAACAAAAATAGAAACAGAAACAAAAACGACGCCATATACCACGACTATAGTAGTATGCTCTCAAAAAGAAAATGTTTATATGTATGCGTTGCTTTCGAATGATAAAGAAAATTTTTAGTAAGCGGTAGCCGAGGTGGAGGCGATTTATCTGACGTTTTGGATTTTGTAAGAGCTCGCACATACACACCGACACTGTTGCCTCTATGTATAGAGATCGCGATGAATGGATACATTTTGATAAATATTTTTGTCAATATATTTTTTGCTTTTTCCTTTCATCTTCTTTTTTAATTTCTATTTCGCGTGGATTTTTTCTCATTTATTTTTTTGTGGTATAAAATCTGGTAAACGTTGTGCCTATACATTCAGTCAGTCAGTTGTGTTCCAAAGCGTACACATAGTATAATACTTGGATAATCCTTCGCATTCGTTAGCCCAACAGTAAAAAAAAAAAATTCAAAATGTGTGACGATGAGGTTGCTGCTTTAGTCGTTGATAATGGTACATCTTATCCTCCATAAAAAAAATGGATATATTCAACTTAATTATTCAACTTAAGGACATTTAAAGTGATATTAGTGTGCGTGGAAAGATATTGAAATGTTCTTTTAGGAGAAAAAAAAATGCAAGAAATTAATTTAAGAAAATTAAGTGAAATTAATATCACACCGAAAAATTTCGAAATGAATTGTCTTCGTACAGTTTCTCTTTCGTTATTCTTAAAGTGGAATTTTTTACTCCCTCGGCATAAAGGATGCCTAAGAAAAGTGACAGCCTGGCATAATGAAATTTGGCAACATGCTAACTATTTATAGTCGGACTTGAAAAATAACCAATGTGGAATTATTTTTTACTCAATAGGGACTTTAAACGTTCGCTTAATAAATTCTTTTTTTTTTGTTTTTTTGGCTTTGCCTTATTTTATCCTACAGTACTTAGGGTACAAAAGTATATTAAGTTTGTGCGGACATATGGAACATCCAAAAAGACTTGAGATAGACTCACCTTTTGTTGTACCGAGAGATTCACAATCAGTTTCTGAATTGATTTAGACTTGTTTGTCCGCCTGTCCATTTTACTTTCTTGTGTTCTACCTACATGAGATTTTTGAAGAAGGGATGACTACTATTGAAAATAGTTCAGACCGGATCACTAAGTCGATGACTTCCCATCAAAAGCTTTGCTTTGAGAACAATTGTATTAAGCGAAGCTGTGCAGGTTATGTGGTGATGGACAGTGTCTCACAATAGTGCTTACACTTTTTTTTTATACACGTGTCAAGCGCTATGAAAACCGAACTATAGTTCGTTTTGACTTATGAACTTTACTTCAATTTTTCTTTTCAATGGCCTTCTCTTCATTTCATAAACTCTTTTAGGCTCTGGTATGTGCAAAGCCGGTTTCGCTGGTGATGATGCTCCGCGTGCCGTGTTTCCCTCAATTGTAGGTCGCCCCCGCCATCAAGGCGTAATGGTTGGTATGGGCCAAAAGGATTCGTACGTTGGCGATGAAGCTCAATCCAAGAGAGGTATCTTGACCCTTAAATATCCCATCGAACATGGTATTATTACCAATTGGGATGATATGGAGAAAATCTGGCATCACACATTCTATAATGAATTACGTGTTGCTCCCGAAGAACATCCCGTCTTGTTGACGGAAGCACCCCTCAATCCAAAAGCTAATCGTGAGAAGATGACACAAATCATGTTCGAAACTTTTAACTCTCCTGCCATGTATGTCGCCATTCAGGCTGTACTCTCTCTTTACGCTTCCGGTCGTACAACTGGTATTGTATTGGACTCTGGTGATGGTGTTTCACACACTGTACCCATCTACGAAGGCTATGCTTTGCCCCACGCTATCCTCCGTTTGGATTTGGCTGGTCGTGATTTAACCGATTATTTAATGAAGATACTGACTGAACGTGGCTACTCGTTCACTACAACCGCTGAACGCGAAATTGTGCGTGACATCAAGGAGAAATTGTGTTATGTTGCTTTGGACTTTGAACAAGAAATGGCTACTGCAGCTGCCTCTACCTCTTTAGAGAAATCTTATGAACTCCCTGACGGTCAAGTCATCACCATTGGTAATGAACGTTTCCGTTGCCCTGAATCGCTCTTCCAGCCTTCATTCTTGGGTATGGAATCTTGCGGCATTCACGAAACCGTTTACAACTCAATTATGAAGTGCGATGTTGATATCCGCAAAGACTTGTATGCCAATATTGTCATGTCTGGCGGTACTACCATGTATCCCGGTATTGCTGATCGCATGCAAAAGGAAATTACTGCTTTGGCTCCTTCAACCATCAAGATTAAGATCATTGCTCCCCCCGAACGTAAATACTCCGTCTGGATTGGTGGTTCCATTTTGGCTTCCCTCTCCACCTTTCAACAGATGTGGATCTCCAAGGAAGAATACGATGAATCTGGTCCCGGTATTGTTCACCGCAAATGCTTCTAAGCCCATTAGACAGCCCGCCGCAACAAACGATGTTTCTTTGGTTCTAGATATTATTTTTATGACTGAATATACACTTTATGTCCCAGTTCCCTTAATGTTTACCACCGTTCAACTTGTTTTGTCAGAAATTTGTGTTCTCTTGATATCTACGACACCCGTGAAGTTTCTTTTTTGTTTATTTGTTCGCTTGTGTGTGTATAGATGATATTAATTATAATAATAATATAATACGAGTAATAAATTTGTTAATTTTTAAGGGGAAATTTTTATTTTATTTTACAGTTTGTCTTTTTTTTGCTACATATGTACAATAATGTTAGAATGTGTTTAAAAAAAAGTCGAACAGTAACAGAATATTTTTATATAATTTTATTGAAAATAAATAAAAAAAATTTTTATTAGAGAAATGAAAGAAACAAAATATTCCTTTTCTAATATCTTCACAATATTCTAACAACTTGTCAAAACACCGGCTTCGAAAAGAAAGAAAAGCTTGTGCTCTCTTGAAGAGAGTGAAAGAGACAAATGCAGATAACGGCCAAAACAAAGAACGTACACGAACTGTTTTCTTGCCAACTTATTATTTGTAAAGCGTTAAACATTTTTATGTAAAACCTTCAACAAATTTTTTGGAATGTGACTGTCAATCTCCTGCAGCATACGATCAGAAAGGAAAATGCATTAGTGCTTACCCTCCTTTTTTATATAAGCAATCACTCAGCGGATGTTTCCTACACGTATAACACGGTGACTAGAGCGTTCGCGATACTTTTTCGCCAAGTTTTCAAGCCAAGTCAGGCGTAGATCAAGATTGTTTTGGTAACCTTTAGCTATGCGATGCATGAGATCAAGTAGCACTTCTTTGTTTTGTTTTGTATTTCACAAATTTGTATAAAACTGATGTAATTAGTTATCAATATACAATTTACTACATTTTTTCCAAACTCTTCCTATACTTTTCAATTCAATTCAATTATATGGAAATTCAATTACCTTCAGATATCAGTTTCTAAACAAATAAGCTACACAAATTGTCGTCCCTTTGGTCACAGCATTCATACTGTGCTCAAGTGGTACCGTGACTTATTCACCACAAAAAGCTTAAGTAATTCTTATAGTCTGTAAATTATTGACTAATCGCGATTGTCTCGAAAATTTGAGGCAAAGTTTAGATCGCTATCTGCTAGAAATATTCAGTTATAAAGGAATGGCTTATTGGTTTATGGTTTAAACTAGATTAGAAGCATTTGTTGACGGAGACTACACCCAATATCATATGCAATCTATGAACATACTTTCAAAATATATACGCGCGAAACAAAGAAAATGACGAAGTTATGCGTTGCTACTGCTTTTAAAAACACAAATCATTGCCCTTATTGAGGTCACGGTAACACAACAGAGCATTTATATAAACGTTCTCTTTCTTCTCTTTGGTGTTTTGTGTCCATTTTGGGTGCCATCGCATACTTCATTAGTTTTTTTTCTTCAAAAAACCTTTGCCTTAAGTTTACTTTTATTGGCACAAACAGAAAGTTCTTAAAAATAAATTTTGAAAAATTGTTGTTAGTTTCTGCTTTGGTATTTACGAATGTAAAGAAGTAGAATTAATAATCTTTTTTTTGCTTTGTGTGAAGGTAAAGTTTCCCTAGAGAAAAGTAACGGCGAACGCCCGGGAAGAAATGCGAAATGTTTTAGGTTTTCTTTTAAAGGATCCAAAAAAAAATTTTTAATTTTTTTTAGTATATTCAAAAATATTTACCACTTATAGCGTTCGTGGTACAAGGATATATTAAGATTGTCCGGTAGTACGCTATAATCGAAAGGACTTAAGTTAGATCCCATTTTATATCTAAGTTTTTTTGTACGTCCGTTCCTCTGCCCGTCTAAACTTCTTCGTCCTTGTGTTCAACCTGTAGTTTGCAAATTTCGAGACACTTTTGATGAAATTTAGTATACCCAAGTTTTTCGGAAGGCGAAGGCTATTGAAAATAGTTTAGATCAGACCACTTTTTCGACCACTTCTAACATAAGGCCTCATTTTGAAAAGGCGTTATATGAATTATATCTGTTAAGCGAACTGAGGTTGATGGAGAGCCGTAACCCGCTGTAGTGTTAGTCCATACTTATTTTTATTTAAACATTTCATGGTTTTATAACATATCATTTAAACATTTCAAAAATATTTTATCATGTATTTCTTAGAGTTTTTGCCGTATAGCCAAGGGAACAAGACTCGCGACAATGGTCATGGGTTTGAATCTCAGTACGATGGATTACACGTTGTAAGTAGTCATACATGTACACTTACGTTCGTCTTCGCCGCTTGTTTCTGTTTGGTATTCTTAGCTATATTGCCATAGTTTAAAACTTAGATTTATTTACATTTAGTAATATTTAAAGCACAAACATATAAAAAAAAGTTTTCTTTCAAAACTGAAACCGTTTACTTTAAACTTTACAGTGCTTTTGCGCAATGTTCCTTTATATAATTGCACCATTGCAGCTTTTAATAAATAAAATATTTTAATAATAAATAAAATATTATAAATCTTATTAAAAAATTATTTAGATATTTTGTAAAATATTTGTTAGTTTTATTATAATTAATTTAAGCAGATAAAAGAATATCAAAATTAAAATTTTAAACCACTAGCTTGTAAGGCTATCTCTTGGCTTTATTGAAAGCTCTACCGTACTTTAAGTGTGAATCCACGACCGTTAAAGGCGCGTTTATTTTAATATTAAAAAATATACCCTATTTTAATAATTTTTTTATACATTTTTAAAAAATTTTTTAAGTATTTAAATATATATTTTTTTTTAAAAATACTTAAGATATTTTGGTTTCAGTGTATATATAGCGAAGCTTGCGATTTACAGTGAAATATTACGGCAATATACACTTTTGCCTTTGGTCACTTGAGGGCTCTGTTAGCGTTTCTAGTCAAGACACAAACTTTCTTATAAAACAACGCAAGCGCTGGAAGGTATGTATTTTGTTGTTGCAAATTTTGTGCTGTAAAAGTAATATAGTGCATGTTTTGTTATTGCATAAGTATGCATCTACATTTATAATGGATATATGTATTAGACATGCATTTCTGCATACTCTAGTTATAAGAAAATAATTAGTAAAATGTGAACAAAAGCGTAAATTCCGATGGAAGATTTTTAATATTTTTTTAAAGCAATCACGGAAACCTTTCTAAAACGAAAGCAAACCAAATTAAATTGTACAGTAATGGGTTAAAATGACATGAAGATTCGAAAACAAAGTTGTTAAGGGACATAACCTTGTTTGCGTATGTAAGCAATTTTTCTTTGAATAATTTTAATACAATTTAATAACAAAAGAAAACATGTTTGTTGAGACCAAGTTTGTTGTCTGTAATTTTCGCAGTTGGTGGTAAAAATCAACCATCAATCAACATTTTATGACAATAACAACATTAAATTACCCCCAAAAAGTAAAGAACATAACTTTGATTAGCTAGCGTGAGTAAAAGGTAGAGTAAGAACAAAATAAAAAGAGACTTTATGCCTGAGATAAGTTACGAAATAATTGCCTGAAATTATATATTTTGCTTCTTAATGATAAACGTAAAAGGCGGAAAGAGGGAGAGAAAAGGAAAGACGAAAAAGAAAAATAACGGTTATTTCCATTTAAATGTATACGTGACATGAGCAAGTAAAGGCAATTAAAACAAGTGTAGACACAGCTCTCCACACTTCGTACTTAATTAGAAAAATTTTTCTCTCTTATCTTTACACTTCTCTCTCTCTCTCTCTCTCTCTCTCTCTCTCTCTCTCTCTCCCTCCGTCTCTCTCACTCCTCTGTTAAGCTCTTATTCTCTATCATTCAATCACCAATTTCACTAGAAATAGAGCTCATATTACAATTTGCGAGCTGGTATGTGATTTGTTCTACGCTCTTCTCCCTCTTCATCTATTATTGCTTGTTTGTTTCTCTTGCAATTAATTTAAGTTTCTTTTTGTCGTGCATTTTGTTATTTTAATTATGTCAAAGCAGCATAATTGCACTTAATGACATGTTGTCAGTCCTTTCCCATAAGTTTATGCGGACAAGGTAAAGCTTTACTTTTTGCCATCATACCTGCACAGACAATTTCTTGTCATGTGATTTTATTATTGTGACAAAATTTTAATTGATTAATTTTGGCGTTCGTGGCTACATTATCGTTCTATACCGAGTTATTTGTGCTGACATTCTTTGCTTGGCATGCACTCCTCCTATATAGTTTATCACACGTTTTTATCGGGCAAAATTGTTACCGTAAATAAACGCAAGGTCGACATCATTATCATTGCACAATTAATCAGTCAATTAATCAATAAATAAATGCATGGTCGACGTCACTAGCATTACACAATTAATCAATCAATTAATCAATAAATTTTTTCTGGAGTAATGTAACGTAAACGTGAACGTCTAATGTTAGTAAAACATGAAAATAATTTCAATTTAAAGTTCGTAGCAATGAAGTGAAGATAACGGTTATATAATGTGTCCCCTTTAAGAGAACCTATGGATACACCAAACGTTTGCACCATAAAAGCAATAAATGACTGAATAACGAAACTATAAAGCACTTACCCAACATATTAAAACATCTTGTAATAGAATAGAGCGGAAATAGAATAAAAAAACGAAATTATTACGTTAATCAAGCGCACAACCATTTTGCTATTAACCACCTCAAATCTTTTTCTTTTTTCGAAAAATAAGCAAAAAAGTTAAATCCCGATACTCTGTGAGATGGGTTCATTTTTTCTATTTTTGTCTATTTACTGCTTGACCATCCATAGAACGTATGTCGGAGTTTCTATCGAGCTACGTCCCGTAGCTTACTAATAATAAGCAAAAAAACCAAACGCTCCTGTTGTATTTATTTCGCATTGTGAGCAAACACGTTAATCAATTTCGCTGATTTTCAATACTAATTCATTTGCCATATATGAAACGGATATGTTCACGAGAATGCGTATCACAGAGAATATGTGTGCACACAGATATGACGATGTCGATTCAGAGTCTGATACATTTACTCTATAAGTAATGTGAAGTTTGCTTCTGGATGTTGGAAACACTTTCACAAGCAATTATACCCCACTTCTAATGTATATATTTGATATTTGTATACACTAAAAGCTTATTCGCGGGGTATACGTTCCATCAAAATGCCGCGAGTACGGAAACCGTGAATACCGAATGGTAATTGATATGGGATTATATGGGGTACGTTCCTAGGTGACAAAATTAAAAAAATCAAATATATAAAAAAATCAATTTAATTGAAGTTTTGAACATTTTGAATAATTATCTTAAGGCTTAGGCAATGGCTTGAAGAATTTTGGAAGTTTCTCTTGCTTGGCAGTTTTTAAAAGCTTCTTCAATTCAGACTAATACGCAGCAGTCGCATTAGCAATTTGCTTATCAAAAATATGGGAATTGGGTCGCATGTTTTTAATCCGCGAATAGTGAAACCGCGAATAAAAGAAGCGCGAATAAGGATCTATTACTGTATATTTGGTAACGTGCTAGTTATCCGCCCGCACCTTTTTGCTCAATATCAGCCTCATCAGTAGGATTCCATTCCTTCTTATTGAATTAACTTTTAAGACTATTTTGCTTCTTTCTTTTTTGCCATGAAATACTCACAAAGTGTTTGAAGGATCCAAAGGTTGTGTCCTCCTAACGACAGTCTCTCTCGCTATTCTCTATCAGAACTAAATTTCGGAAAACTACCGCAAAGTTTTATGCAATTCAATTGCTTCGCAATTTTGACATTCGCTTCTACATTCATTCGCTCAGTTTGGCAGGTCGACTATAAATAGGTCGTTTTGTAGTGTCTTGAAAAGAGTTAGTTAAATGGGCGGGCCTACGAGTTGCATAAGAATTTTATAAAGTTCATTGACAATAGTTGGTAACGTTGTGTCTAATGAAAACCATTCGTTCTTAGCACTTTTTAAAATGTTTATGCTTATATATCACTTTATTGCTGAACAAAAAATAGTTTTTATAATATCTTTTAAGTTTTTTATTCTGTTTTTACCAAGGCCTGCTTTGCGAAAATTGAAGAATCATAAATACTTTTTATAGAAAGGTCTTTTACGCAATTAAGGTAAATGCATTTTGATCTCTATCATATGTTTAATCGGTTTTCCAAATGAAAGTCTCAGTATGTTCGATTCGTAAATCAAAGTAGTCGTTATTTTCACCTAGATCAGAAGTTTTCACACGTGACTCTGCGATGCCGTCTTGAAGCTGACGGTGGATATTGTTTATCAAATATCTCAAGTTAACGATTCGTTATACTTGCTACGTAATTACAATTGCCACTTTCGACTTGAAGCCTTTGAGGTTCCTTTTCACGAAGAATTTGATGAAAACATGTATTTGACGAAAACATCATTTAGCCATGACACGTATGAATTGAAAAATTGGAGAACGACGGTTGCAAGTTTATAATATTTTCAACAGAACTTAGAGGGGAATGGATTAAAAACAAATTTTTGTTCAGCAATTTTTTTTAGGATGGAACCAAAGGTAATAAAATAATAATAATTAACGAAGAAAAACATTTTTGACAAATATTAAAAATGACAATGCCAGAGCCATTCTTGCTAACTTCTTCAATATAAGGTTCTCTGCGGCCTCTGCGTTTCTTGGAGTAAATTTGAATCTAAAAAAACAATAAAACCTTTGGTTTTAACGCCTATGGCTAGTGCAGTACGTAAGGGATTTTAAATTTTTAATGATTATTTTTTCACTAAAAAAAGCAATCTTTTGCTAGTGACTAATGTTGAAAACAACTTATCGACAACCTACGTATTTGATAAAAAATATTGTATAAAATTGGAAGGGGGGATTTTGCGTGGACCGATTTGAAAGCTTTCACATCCTCAACAATTAAAGTAGCCTCCCCCTGAAACTACTGACCCGTAAACAAAGCAGACTGTAAGCGAGAAATATGTATATATAAGAGAATTACTTTGCTTTGTCGAGAGTATTGGTCGACATATAAGTTTTGTATAACCTCTTATGTCAAAATAGACTGGACTCGAGAAAATTATTAATTAGCTTTTTTTTTTTTCAAATACTAAATGTGACGTGCTTCAAATACTAACATTTTTTAATAGGAATTACTTTTTATGCCTTTTTGATATCCATGAGAAATATATTCATTTTGTCAAAACGTTTACAGCCCTCAGAAGAAAGCTTCAGCTTCAAGCTACAAGTAATAGTCAATAGTCAGCATCAAATTGTGAATCACATGTGTTAAGCATGTTCGTTTGTTCGTCTGTGTAATGTCTATTGTAAACATACTCCCAGTCACAAAGATGAAGCTATTAACTCAAAATATCGGAAGTTTTTCAAAATGGGCCAACTTAGTCGAAGAGGACGCCTACATTACGACGTAAACTGGGAACACCTCTGCGTTTCAAAAGGAATAAAAATTGGTTTTTTGGTCATCACTCATAAACTCAAACTTATATTTTATGCGCGTTGCATTGGGACGTATGTATAAAATTGGGAACAATCGACCAAGCCTACCCAGTATCATAGTGTATCAAAATTTGATTCTTCAACGCCTATATAATGTATAGCAGCAAATTTCTAAATCTCCGAATGCACTTAAGCATTCTTAAGTATCCGTTTGTCAATCTCTCCGGCTGTCCAACTGTGTAGTATTTATGGTATACATTCTTCCGTTTGCAAAAAACAAGATATCGTTTACAGATTTGCAAAAGAGTTTGAAAATGGCGCTAACAAGGCAAAGAACATGCCTACAATGCCCATACGTTTATACAATCAAATTAAGAACACTGCTGCTTTTTCTGTCGTCTGCTCGTTGACAATAAACTGCAACAGATGTGCGATATGAATCCACATAATGTTATTCCTCAAAAGTAGAAAAAATCCCAATATGAAATTTTGATTTTTTTGTCAAAATCTCTATAACGCCACGAAGTACACTTGAAGAAGCCTATAAAGTACATATATCTTCGACCATTACACCTAAGCAGGTCCGCGTGTCTGTCTCAGCCGTAAAAATAAAGACATCGCTGATAACGTTGGGAAAAAGTTTGAAAGGACGTGTTTATAATGTAGCAGAAAGTGGGATCATCATTGTTCTTGTATTTTTTGCTCGTTACTCATAAGCTATACCGCATACACTATATAAATTTTCCCTTTCATTTCACAAAATTAGAACGCGCCAACGCTGTAATATACAACACGAAATTTTAGTTTTTTTTAGTCTTTTTCAGAATAGCGCTAATAGATATACAAGATTCGGTCACGGGTGAATGTAACTTTCTTCCTTGGTGCATGTTAACTAAGGAATTAGTGGTAGGGATGGAAAGGATCACTGTAATCGTCTTCACCGAGAAAACGTCTTTCGTTTCGTTACCTTCAGGTAATTGAAAATATATTCATAAATAGTTTGTATAGTTGTTTCAGGAAACTTTAATAGTTTTGGACTTACGATAATATTTGTTGATAGCTTCTTAAGTACTATTCTGGTACAACCCGCTTAAAATATTGTTGGGGAAGTCCCTGTGCTAATGAAACATATTTCTTTTTAACGACAAATCACTCAAGGAATGCGTCCTATTCGTGTAACACAGTGACGGTCAGAAAGACTTAAGTTATATTTTTGCTGAAATGTGTGAATGATTATCAAAACTACTTTTTAGAAATCAAATTTTGATAGATTTATACCGCGTTTGGAAAAGTTTAGCTTTTGATCTTATAGATTAAAAAAAATCTGAAAATGGATTTCATATTCTTTCGAGTAAGGCAGATGGGTAAATCCATTCCATTGCCCGCATTCATATGGAACAATCGAGTTGTAAAGGGTCTTTGATATGCAAACTTTAAATCAATTGAACACAATTTCCATGAGATGCGAAGGATTTTTTTTTCTTTAATATCCGCTTTAAAAATATTTTTAGATAATATTTAATTTTTTCTGATGTGTGTATTTAGCAAGTTACATAAATAAACGATTTAAAACATTTTGTTAAGATAAAATAATGTTATTTTTTTCCGCCAATTAAAATTTCAAAGCTTTTTT